CCTTTAATAATTTCACGTATTCCGATTTCAACTGATTTGAGATGCCACCGCTGCCACCAATTTTGTTATGCCGTGGATAGTTTTCAGGATTTTAATTAATTTGTAAACACAGATTTTATTTTAAGAGGTCACAAATTTATTAATTCGCTTAAACTTAGTTACACTTAACTGGTTTACACTAATATTATAGGTGAACAATTATTTCTATTTATAATTGAATTCTATTATCTTATTGATTATATTCTATTTCTCATCCTTCTATTGATTCTAATAGTTTTTGTTTCTACTTCGATCAAGGCTTCCTTTCTACTGACTAAAAAAAAACATGCATGAATTATCAAATATGAAAGTAGTGCATCGTGAAGGTGTTTACTGCGCTTGAGAAAAAGAATTGAAATAGCTGCTCTGAGTCTCGAGACACAGGCGTAAGGACATCACCGTCAGCATAATTCCAATACGAAATGATGTGAGGTAGTCGCGGCGTAACAATATATATTTGTAAATAATATATTTTATTAATAATAAATAAACTCTTAAGTAGACTGAACATTGAGTTTATTTATTATGAATAAATCATATAGTTAACAGTTATTTTTTTGAATTTGAAATTGATACGTAACACTAATGGTGAGTGCGATAATTGTAAAAAAATTTTCCGAATTGACATGAGTGTATTGCGCCATTTGTTTCAAGTGGATAATAGTCAGTTAATCTGTCAAAAGAACCAAAAAAGTATGTTCGAAAAATTGTCAATTGAATGATTGATTAAAATGTCAACAAACATTGATTAGCATGAAACTTATTCAAATATTTTTTCAAGTGTTTGAAGGATATCAAAAAATCTTGGCTTGGCTATGGAAAATAAATACGATTATGGTCAATGAAAAATACTTATCAGATTGTGTGAGATGCTGTCCTCTAAAACTTCCCGCCTGATACAAATTTATTTCATAGCTGCTATTTATCATAGTATCTTTCATTGTATCACATTCCTTATATTTTTTAATAAGTTATAAATAAATATTATTATTTTTATAACAAAATTGAATAAATTGATGTATTACATTATTCCGAATCTAAAATAATTCATAAATTAATATTATTATTCATACTTCTTATGAATATTACTGTTAGAAAGGGAATAAATTGTTCATTCGTTCAATTTATACATTGGGAGTATGTAGAGTAGCGGTAGATACTCGGCGCTAAGTCACTTGCACATTTTACCCCTTGTCCAACTATTGCCCTTTCGTCCAACTAGCGCGCTCTCGCGGCTTACATTTACAGCACCGAGTAATACAGTACTCTATACTCGAAAGTTATATAGAATATAGAATCAAAAGTGATCATTAATTTTCATTCAAATTCAAAACGAGATATATCTATTGAGTATTTATTAAGAAACAGATTAGGCTATGCCCCTAAATCCGTTTTTCACACATTTCAATTCTGTTCTTTTCTGTTCTTCCTACGGTTTCCCTGAAATAGAAAAGTACTAGCAGATTCTTACGACTTCGTCCACGAATAACCCAATACCAAAAACCAATTGCTATGTGATCAAGTTCATAAAAAAAATATATACGTAAGTATTGAAGATAAAAGGAAATAATTTGAATTCTATTGTAAGATTTAATTTCTGTTCCTTCACAACAAATTCAATTGTTACAAACAAGAGAAGTATGATTCCATACATTTTACATAGTCCGTAACTCAATTTTAGCAAAAGAAATAATTACGTGTTGGAAGAACTCAAATATATTGCATATATCCTGTTCTTTAATGTTTATAACAAATACAATTTTTATAAACAAAAATAATAGGATTCCATTCATTTCACATGGTTTGTAATTTTATTTTCGTAAAACACAAAATTTGCTGTTGGAAGAACTCGAATATTAATAAAAATTTCATTCTGTTATAGTTACTTCGCGATTAATAATTTCCTCATTCCATCATGTGGAACGTCATTTTACTAATAATGCTTGAAAAAATCAATTAAAATCGAGAGAGACGGCAAATGTGTGCGTGGCGCCAAGTATCTACCGCTACTGTAGATGATAAATTTGCACATTTTTTATGAATTTGACAGAAAAGTCCAGTAATATGGCAAAATCGTATTCGATTTTCCGTAAATACGAATAATCATGTTTAATACTCATCTATTTATTTCATTCTATTGGATATGAGTTGATGGTAAACTAATTATTATCGTTTACATTGTGTTTATTTTTCAAGGGAGAAAACCCGAGTAAAAATAAATGATGATTTTCTAACGGGCGAACACCGGCCGTCCGGCTTTCCAAAGGGTATATGATGGCCGTAAAGTCTGTAAATATTATTAACGGAAACACATACGGGCCTATGATGGCTAAATTTGAGGAAAAGATTTGAATGGCCATAGATTTAGCTATACACACGGGCATACGACGGAAAATTTTCAGACAAAAGAAAGATGGCCTTATAGGCGGCAAAGCACATGAGGCTATAGACAAACATTCATTATTATTTCTTAGGTATTTAAGCGATTAAGGTTGTTCGATCATGAACAATAGTATAGTATAGGGAAAACTTATGTTAAAATTTAATTTAAAGATAAATGACAATATTTCATATTAAATAAAACTTGACAATTAGAATTGATTTATTACAAAATTATAAAACTTTTGACCGTTTTGTTTACGAGAAATATGAAATTATTGGTGCCATTGGGTTTAGTGTTCAACCTAACTTTTAATTGAACTTTATACATTTATTTTTGCTAAACTAAACGGTGATATTTATTGATAAAGCAAACTTGAATTCTTTGAATTATTAGCTATCACTTTTGCAATTTTTATAGATTAATCTTTAAATTCGCTTAATGATCGAATAACCTTAATCAACATCAATTTGTAATTGTTGATTTGACACATAATGTAAGTAAAAAGAAATCTCTTAAAAATTTAAAATAACAAGAAATATTTCATTTTATGAACTTTTTTATTTAATACACATATTTACAAACAGAAAATGATAATTTTAAAATTAAAAGCATATATATTTATTCATTGATCATACTCAACTAAATTATCTAACGTTTCTAAAAAATTTCATCATTTGCTTGTACGACAGAACATAAACTTATTATCGAATTTAAAGATATCAATTGTACTGGTGAATCTGCACTAATGTATTGCTTGATATGGTTTATGGGAACTTGATCATTTACGTCATGTACAATTGGCCTTTGGATTATCATATTTGAAGACGTTCTAAAGGTGTCGATGTTCTAATTTTCTGAACTAGTGCATAAAATATTGAATTATCCCAAATTTCTTTACATCTGGTGACGCTACAATTACATAGCTTGATAAATCGCTTCACAAACCCTATTTGTTTTTTTTGCTGACAATTAAAACTATACAGTGAGAAATAAATTTTTTATTGCTTCGGTCACGTTCCGCGTAAATAATTTGATTACCTTTTTTAAGTTTGAAGAATGTACATAAATTATAACTATTATCGTAATGTACACCTGATCGAGTAAAGGCTTCGCGAATAAGATTAGGAAATTCTCTTAAATGCATAATTTTTCCTAAAATATATAAATTTCTATCAATACGATTTTCTGGATTTATTCGTTTGCCTGCTGTCATCATACTTATACAAAATTGACCAATTTGTGATTGTTCACCGATGTATTGCATTTTATCACTCATAATTTGATTGTCTGCAATTTTAGTGTAAATTTGAAGTCCAATGTGCCGCGTTCTATGTACATATCTCAACATTGTTCCTAATAAGTCCTCGAAAGGAAAATATGAAGTCACCCACAATGGCCCTAAATCTCTTACCATATCAGGCAAATATAGCAACGAATGAACATTGAATGACATATAGCGTGGATCATATAACACTTGAAACTTTGACACAAATGCTGTTAATAATTTTTACCGTTTTGTAACATTTCAAGACTTACACTGCTCTGATTTAATATATAAATGCCTTGAACAAATTGTAAATAGTGAGTGAAATATTTCGGTATCATTAAATCGTGCAATACTGGTACTGAATAGTAGAAAAACCACGCTTTCCAGTATTTATAATGTTTCAAAGATTGCGGCATACTTTTCAAAAGGCCAGGAGGTTTAATCTCTAGAATTCTTCTATCAATTATTCCAATGGGTTCATATAATGAAAATTCAAAATATCGATGTGAACTATCAACAAGTAATTCTGTCATACGTTTACAACACCCTAAATACACATTATGCATAACGTCTATGGCAGTGCCTCTAATCATATCAGGCATTAATATACTGATAATAGACGGACCTTTAACACCATTCGTCACATTACCAGATTTCATTGCCGTGGTAACATCATCTTCATGACTTTCTTTGGTACGCACTGTCATAACGTTTCCTGTAATAATATCTCCTGTAATATCTTCTCCTTCATACGGATAAATATGAGTATTGCCGAATGTATCTCCTGATATGGAATATCCTTTTGATAGACACTTTATGCAGCCAAAATGACCATTAAATTGATTATGGTTCAAAAAATCAGCACATGCCGAGGCATCGCACGTTCCTATAAGCAGAAATGCTCTTACTTTTTTCAGCCGATCTTCTCCAGGAATATCCACATAAACACCTGTACTAACACTGCAAATCGAAGTGTTTGACTTTAATTTGCTTGAAGTGCATTAATTGTTGTAGTAGCTTTTTAGTCACTTCAACGTGCATTAAAAATTTCAAAACACATACACTGCATTAGAACTATGCACTAATGAGATTTACTTTAATGCACATAATATTTAGTAACTTTAGTGCGTTCTGTCTTATAAATAAAAGATATTATTAATGTACAGGATAAAATGAAATCCGAAAAATTTGTAAAATATATTCATTTATTTATGATATGTCAGTAAAACCTATTTTATAAAACTTTCTTGTTAAATATTGAAACATATTAATATAATTGTAGCTACAATATTTTCAATAACATAGGTTGTAATCAATTTATGAGAAGTATCAGCGGAAAGTGAATATTCAAAGGAAGTTAACATTTGAGAAAATTTATTAAGAGTGTTCGTTTTCTGCAGAGTCTTTTTGTGTTTCCTGAACAATAGCATCTCTTTTTCTAATGAATCTTGAAATTACCTGATTAGCTTGAACGGATGTGCCTAACAAAGCGTTATCAATATATTGTAATATATTTTTGTATGGAGAAGGATATTTTACATGCCAAACATAATAAGTCGACATTAAACAAACAACGATGTTTTCCATTGTCGGTGATTTCATCTTCACCTGCGTCTTATTGTCTGCTACAACGTATGCCACTGCAATTCTTCCTTCATCCATATAAATCACACACCTAGGAGATTCGCCTGGACCAGCTTCAATGTCTTCAATAGAAGAATTAACCTGTAATGATACCTTCTTTAAAGAGCAATTCAAATGATATCTTTTTACTTAATCAATTATTTTCGAAAATTTTTAATATTGATTGTGAATTAATAACTCACTTGGTTCAATTTAAATAACGGTATTGCATTTTTGTTTACTTTTCTTGATAATTCTCCATATAATTTTGACAAAACCTGGTATTTAGATTCATCTGTAATTTCGCCAATTCGATAACATTCTAATAGTTTTTGAAACATAAAATTAGCGTTTGTATTTAAATCGTCAAGACTCAAATTTTTCATTGCACAAAATTCAAAAAGAATCTAAAAAAAAGCGATTAAAAAAATGTTATTGTTGTAATACTTTCATATTTTATACCTTGATACTTTTGTATTATTATACAAAAAGACATTTTATACGTACTAGATTATAAACCTTCAGTTGAGGATATAGTTCAACTATATTTTCGATTGATTTAGCTTCATTTTAAATCCATTGGTGTCTTTGAGGCAAAGTTATTTTTAATAACTTTTTCACGTGTGGTAAGTTTCTTTCGCTATGATTTTTTTGTAGTTCTCTCAGTGCTCTTTGGATATCAGCGTCGTCTATTTGATTTCTGTAATTTCACAGCATTTTAACTATAGCTTGATCCATAAGTGATTTTGAATTAGAAAGTATGTTAAATATAGTAAAAACGCAAGGTTTTTTGGAAAATTCTAAAAAATTAATAATAATAGTCTGTTTCTCATTAATTGAAAAAAGCTTGTTTGGGTCTACATAATTTTGTATTAAGTTATTCTTAAAGTAAGAATGAAAAATTTCTTAATTGGAATAGCAATTCTAATAATGATTAACAATTAAGTAACATTAATTTTAATATTTACATTTATCATTCATTACAATGAAGAGATTAATGATTAATTATTGAGTTCTCGAAGAAAACTTACATTTCTTTCACCTCTACGGATGCTCTTGAAAGTATCTTTCCATCTTTATCTCTTTTGGCGGCTTGTGTTTTTAAATAGGCCCGGTGGTTACGAATCCACGCACTCAATTGTTTTCTAACAATACCCTTAAAATGAAACAAAATTTGTTATCATAAATAGAAAATCCATTAGTAGAATAATGCAACTATAAGCTATTAAACTTGAATCATCACATTTGTTGAAAAATCTTTACTTACTATTCCACCAGCACCACCACGTAGTTCAGGGAATTTAGTCGTTATTTGGGTTGCAAAGTTAGCATAATCTTCTGATGAAGGTTTAGTATCAGTAATTTCCCATAAGTAATTTCCCCAAAAGCTTATTATATATGTATTAGAAGCCAAGACACCATGAGATTTGATTTTATTTTCTATGTCAATTGTTAATTTAGGTAAGGTGATTTCATGCGGTTTTAGATTTTTAGATTTTGGTATGTCAGATAATTTTTTCCTTTCACTCTCAGAAAAATTTTCATTTGACACATTATCAACCTATGAACAAAACAATAATTCATGAAGATACAACATTGCAACATGCGAATATTACTAAACAATAAAAGCGATTATGATTTTTTCTTACCTCAATATCGTTTTCTTTATCAGTTTCCGCATGATCAGGATAAAATTTATGTTGTACATCAACGGACGCCATAAAAGGTTCGGTATACACAACTTTAACCTCACTATTTCCCGCCAATTCTTCAGCTGCACAACTTTGAGATGTCGATGGGATAATAAATTCTTGGTAAATTGGCACTAATAAAACGTTGATATTATCTAGATTATTAATTTCTTCGGCGTCTTCAATATCAACATGAATTCCAGCATCAACATCTTTTTTTGCAAAATGATTTCTTTGTTCTCGAGCGATGCTTTTAATGACGAGTCTCGTACACAAAGCTCTAACAGTTTATTTTTTACTATTTCTTTGTCAGAAATAGTCTTTAAGCTGATAAATTTTACACATTTACACCTACCCAAAATTGCACAGAAGATTTTCTTTTCCATTTTTTATTTCGTTTCACTTTCAATTAGATTTTCATTCGATCACTGATTTTACTAGATTTCTTTGTATGTAAAGTAAGACCCACGCGTTCCACGTTTGTGCGGTTAAACACGGTAACTGGGACTGTGCGCAGAAACTTGCGCAAACTTTAACGCGTCCTGTAAACGTTGTGACAGTGAGCACGATTTCCGGATAGCTATTCGAAAAATTTGATTAAATTATTTGGAAACATAATCTAATTACATCAACACATTCATCCATGTAATGAAAATTTTTATGAAATTAGTTTTATTAATCAAAAAGAAACTTAGTATTTTATGTAGATATAACCTTAAAAAGTTTGGTTATGACAGTGAGTAACACTTATGTATATGTCAGCTGATTAGTTATTGAAAATGAATGGAGACAATATTTTTATTAAATGCACAATGTGTTTTTTCAAATGTTATTCGAAAATCACTTTATTAAAACATGTAGTGCGATATCACCAACTTGATCAGCGTTTTAAAGTTAGCTGTGCAGAGGATGGATGTGGAGCAATTTACACCAAATGGAAATCTTTTCAGCAGCATGTTTACAGAAAACATCCAACACTTTCAACAATTCTTGATGAAAGACCATTAGTACATGATAATGGACAGCAAGAACAAGATTTTGGAGTTAGAGATGAATTAAATGATGAAGAAGGTAAGCAAAATTCTAATGTACTTTGTGAGTGCACGTAGATCACTTTATCAATTTTAATCGTTACAATCACGCCAGATGCAACCCTTGTAATAACTTTATTTGTCTTAATAAATCAGGAATGACAGAAAGAGCTGAATATGCTACAATGAAGAATCTTCAATGGTATGCTGCTAAATTAATAATAGATATAAGAGAAAACTGTAAAATTTCTCAGACATCAATAGATCAGGTCATTAACGGAATCACTTCACTGGTAGATGTTTATTTATCAATAATATTGGTGAGTATTATAGCAGATATTTTCTGAATTGTTCAAATACATTTTCATAGTAACCAATTGTAATATTTAATCGCTGGGCTATGATTTCTTTTGAATTAATTTTTTATGAAAGAAGGATAATATCTTTGATGTCATTTTAACCATTTTACAGGAAGAATGTCAAAAGAAAACAGATCCTGTAAGTCACATGCTTTCAATAGACGATGTTAACACTATATGTATGGAAGAGTATCCATCAACTACACTCTTTTCTATATTACAATCAAAATCTACTCTTGATAAATTTTTAATTGAAGAAATGCGCATGGTACAAGCTACAGAAGTTAAGATTTCGTCAAAATGGCAATGGAAACAAAAAAAGAGGCTTTCTACAATTTCTAGAGACTTATGTGAAGTTACACATTGTGCATACATTGTTCCTTTTCTGGAAAATTTAACTAATCTGTTAATGAACGATGAAGTTAGATTGCATATAGACAATCCTCTCGATCATGACCCAAGTGTATACCGTACAGTGTTGGACGGTTCATATTATCGAGAAAATGAGTTTTTTCGTAATAATAAAAACTCTTTAGCAATATCGTTATATTACGATGATGTGGGGATTACCAACCCTTCAGGAGCTAGTTCTAAAAATCAGAAGTTAGCAATGTTTTATTGGACTCTTCTAAATATTAAGCCCGAGTTACGATCTTCAAACAACACCGTTCAATTGTATGCCATTGTTAAAACAATATATTTGAAAGAACCGAATGCCTTAGAAAAAATTTTGAGACCTTTCATCGATGATATTGAAATATTACGAACAGAAGGTTTAAATATGTATGTTAACGGAGTAAGGAAAAATTACAAAGGCTCATTATTGAACATTCTAGGAGATACACCTGCATCAGCTTTGATGGCCGGTTTTAAAGAATCTGTGGCTGCATATCGACCATGTCGTTTGTGTATGGTAACAAAAGATGTATTAAAACTAAATCCTTTTGAAAATGAGCAACTACTGCGGAATAAAGATTTACACATGCAATATTTAAATGATATCAACGAGCCAGGTATCACGAAAGCCGCGAAAAAATACTGGCAATTATCGTATGGTATAAATGGTGTGAGTCCAGTTGTAAACATACCTTACTTTGATGTAACACAATGTTTACCAATAGACTGCATGCATATCCTTCTTGAAGGAATTGTTGAGCAGAATATAAGATTATTTTTGAAGTATTGCATTGTTCAAAACGAACTTTTCACGATTAACAATTTTAATATAAAACTGTCTACATTCAATTATGGTCATTTCAATCGAGATAAACCCGCTGAAATCCAATTAAAGGATCTTGATGACGTTTTGCGACAAAGTGCCGCTCAAACTTTTGTACTTGCTCATACACTTCCATTTTTAATTCTCCAATTAGTTGATAATGACGGAGAAGATCTCAATGACCGAATCGACTGTTTTAGTTTACTACTACAAGTTATGAATTTATGTTTAGCATATCAAATAAGTAGGGATTCAGTAGATTTATTAAGTAGGATGATCGATATATTTATAACACGTTTCAATGGGCTGTATCCGAATAGTATAATACCAAAAACACATTTTTTAACGCACGTTCCACGATGTATAAGATTATTTGGACCTCCAAGACAACACTGGTGCTTCAGATTCGAATCTGCCCACGCTTATTTCAAATCACTTGTACCAGTTGTTCGCAACTTCAAAAACATGCCTTTAACCATGATCTATAGACACCAAAGTCGTATTTGTTCTCGCCTTTTTTCTAATCCAGGTCAATCTTCAAAACTGTTTTTACACGAAAGTAAAATAATTGTTCCTGGTCTAAATCATTATTTCACACACTACAAATATGCCTCATTGCTATATCCATTAATACCACATGAACTTCAGGAAACATGTTCAATAATGGTGTCTCCAAAAGTGGCCATTTATGGAGCGATTTTTAAGAAAGGCAGCATTATTTTGTTAAGTTGTAATGAAGATCTTCCACTAGAATTTGGTGAAATACTGGATATCTGCGTTTATGATAGCAAAATTTTTTTTGTAATCTTAAAATTAGAAACAATCTGTTATAATAGAAATCTTAATTCTTATCAAGTGTTAAAGCCTATAGCCACAGTCCAACAAATATTACTTGGAGCTGATGACCTATTGTTTCCTCACCCACTATTACGAGTTAATTTAGATAATAAAACTTTTGTACTACTCATTAATCATGAAAGATGTGAATTTTTTTAATGATAAATGGAAATAAAAAATTATATTATAATAAGAAAAATGTAGATATTTGTATAATCTCTTTGGAATATTATTATATTTTACCTTTAAAAAGTTCAATCCTACAGAAACATACAAATACAAAATAAACAGGATGAGCATTTTATTAGTATATAAATTATGCATTTCATACGTTTTGAATTAATATGTTCAATGTGTTTTGAAATGAAACACCTAAATGTATTATATATTTAATGTATTACAGTGTATTAAAACAAAATGTATCAATGCATCATTGACACAAAATAATGCACACGAGGCATATAATTTCAAAACTATTCATAAAAATGCACGTACATATATTAAAATAAAACACGTACAGTGTTTTTGAATAAAACACTGCGATTTGCAGTGAAGGGCAATCATTTCTTCATATAACGGTCTTAAATATAAATTTGGAAGTGGATCAATCGGTCTAAACCAAAGTTCCGCAACGATGACATTTTCTTTCAAAATTCTTTTTTTATACGGTAATTCATTTATTACCAAATAAAATGGCCAAAGACTGTATTTGCGAGATTTAAAAACTGGTGCTCCGTCTGTGTACCACATAAATGACAATGTGTACTTATTACGTTCTGGATTATTGTTGGCTGCATGTTCTTTATATAAAGAGGCACCGTAAATGTCTTCAATATTAGTATTTTGTGCTTTTAATTGATTGTACGGATAATTTTAATCGTTGCAAAAGCTTGGTTTATTCAAAAGATTTTGTAGTTAATTAACGATAGGCATTTCAATGAAATAGGAACGTTCTCGAGGTCTTTCACAATGACATTGAGAATTCTCTCTTTCTAATTTGCGAAAACATTCTAAACAATAGAAATGCTTCTTTAAATTCGTGTTACCATTTTTAAAAAATTGTCTAAATTTGTAAACAGTCTTCTTAAATAATGAATCTGCTGGGAAATGAAATGCCATCATTTTCAAAAGGTTAGCAAAAGCTGTTCCTGTCGCATTTTCCGACAATGCTTAACTAAAAATACTCAGAGCACTTTCTGCCTATGTGATAGGGGCTCCTTCATACAATGGCCTATCGCTATCATATGGATGGACTTGTTGGTTTCTGAAATTTTCTTGTTGGATTGTGTTTTCTAATTGATTATTGCTAACATCAGCTTCATCATTATCTTCATCATCAGTAACATCTTCCTCGCTATCATCACTATGATCATTTTCATCATTATTTGTACCAGATTCTTCTTCGTCATCATTGTTGTCATTGTCGTCGTCATCATTGCTACTATCATCACGATCATAGTCATCATTGCTGCTACTCTTATTGTCATCATTGCTGTTACTACAATTATTATTGTTGGCACTGTCCACATTTTCCCTATCAGCATCATTGCTATCACTATCACCATTACGATCGTTATAGTTTTTATTACCAGCATCGTCTTCAGCATTGCTTATATTATCATCTTCGTCATTACAATCTAAATTGTCATCATTGTCGATTAAGTTTACAGTATTAATGTCATTCGCCATACGATGTACATAATCGTTCATTTCTACATCTTCGAAAATCAGTACCCTCGAAACATCTGTACTAATGGCATTTTGTCCATTCTCGTCATTATGCTGCTGCACATCATTATCTAAAAAAAATTCTTCTCATTATATCTAGAAATTGAAAATATATAAAGTCAAAACAATTTATAAAAAATTAAATGTTAAAATGCTTGTTGATGTTGATGCTGCTACAGGACCATTCATAATTCTTCTCTTTTTAGTTGAGAGCCATATACCCCTAAAAAAAATTATAAATTGAATAAAGTAACTAATGTAGTGATAAGCGCTTTTGGCTCGTTGAAATCAATTTTATTTTATAGAAGTTGTGCATTTTAAAATGTGTAGTTGACATAGTCACAAGTCTAACCTATAAAATAAGTGTGACCACGTACATTACAAAAATTACTGAACTTTAAGAAATATTTACTTGCGTTCCAGCCAATCTTGAGGATGTTTCATTCTTTTTAATAGCTCTGCGCGTCTACTGCGACAATAGTCATTCAAATCACTGGAATTCTTTAATTTTGGCATTTTTATTCAATCACGTATCTACCAAACTTGGAATACTAATTTTGCACCTCCCTAGTATTATTTTCTATTCTCTATATAACTTCAACAAACGATATTTTTCTTCCTTCAACGTAAACTAATCACAATTTCACGTATTTGCTAGTGAATGACGCCAACAATTATCTATCGATAAACTTAAGGAGTAGATATTTGCATCAATGAAATCACTAGTTGTAATTTTCTGTTTCGTATTATCTAAAAATAACAATTGCGGTAATGTTGAACTGTTTAAGAAGATTTCAAGATGGCATTCTACTCTCAAAAAGGAAAAAAACGATAGTCCGGCAACGAGCCGTCTGATGCCCGGCATACGGCCGAAGACTTTGTTCAAATTACAGACGGCGTATGCCCTAGATACGACCCTTCGCCAGAATTCCTTTATTTTTACTCATATTAATATGTCCTAATGATTTTCAAAAATAAGAAGAATTAAAATCTACTAGAATAGTGTTAATATAGTAATTGAATTCACATGTTTTCCGTCTGTTAATAAAATTCATCAATATAACAAATGTACAAAAGTAAATATTTAATGATGATTTCAACATTATTAAAATTTAAAAACAAAACATGTTTGTTTGCACATTCTAATCATTAGGTTTATTCATTAATTCTCTTATGTAAATGTCTTACGTGATGTCGAATAATTAACCATTATTACAAAGCTTTTAGCAAATTAAAAATTGTTTCCCCTGTCGTTTTATGAGAAAAGGTTTTTCTCTAATCGAACATTAGTTGTGAATCATCCACAATAGTGCAGACTTTGAAATAATCATTTGAAAATATTGCACTTATAATTAAAACACTCAAATATTAATCATCCGTGGGAAATGGAAATTCCATCGAAATTGATAATTGATTGGTTTTTTTGTGTTATTATTATATTTTCGCAAAATTTTGTAACATCCGGTACTCATATATCGGTATTCAACGACATCATGGTAATACTCGAAAAATTTATAAATGTTTTTTTTTACCTTGTATTATTGTTGAAAGACAATGTACTAAGCCATTACTTTATTTGTCATTCCAATGGTGACAATGTAATTTCAGAACGAAATAATCAATGATTGCTATAAAGATCTCGAAAACATCTTTATTTTTGAGCATTTTGACACTCGAGTAGATCCGTCAGCATCTTACCCAATAGTGAAAATGGACAGTGTCAAGTATATAAGAAATGACTTAATGAAAGAACGACCTTCAATTCCCAGAGCAAAAATAGATGCCTATTTTATACTTACTAATACTTCTTTAATCTCCGATAAAATTTTCTTTATGTTCAGTGTTATGAAAGTTTGGAATAATAATCGTCCAATATTCATTTTCGCTACAAGTGCCGAAAGTTATCGCACTTTCTTATTCAATTTGTTTTGGGACAAATGGTCCGTATCAACTTTTTATTATATTTATGCGAATTCAAAAGGACAAGTAAGTGTGTTGACTAGTAATCCGTACAAACCGTACGCATCAGAATACTGGCGACATATAAATACTGGTACAGAGATATCTGTATTTCATCGCAGATATTTTAAAGGTAATTCAAAGTAGTTCGAAACAGCTTGGTTCTCAAATTCTGAAAATAAGTAAAATTTCATTGAATTTAAAAGGTGTTATGAAATTTGTTCAAAGTGAGTGCATTGACGCTTTGCGAAGATAAAGTGGATCTTTAGCGAAAACTTCGTTAGACAAATACTTTTACGTAGTAAGAAGTTGAAATTGACTAATCATCTGGTCGCTGCCGACAACAAGTCACTGGGGGGTCGCGAAAAGTACAGCAATAATTCCTTCTCTTTTCATTGATGAAAGTAAATATCATGCAACTCACCAATGTACTCACTTTGCGCGTATTTTATCAAAGATCAAATAAATTGACATTTTTTTCGTAGGTGAATTATGCCGAGGATTTGTGTTTGATCGAACTAAATATCTAAATCAAGTAGAGCTACTCTTCGTGAGTGAAACTTCGTTTCATGAAGGTTTATATAACGAAACACTGGTGAAGTTGTGTGATGGGATCTGGTTCGATACGTTATCTTTCTTCAAAACAGCTTTGAAAACAAAAAACTCCATCTATTGCATAAAGGACTCATCTAATTTGAGACAAAAAGCACTCGATCTTCGAAAATTCAAACCAGATCTATATTTTTTTTCCATTCAACACGCAGCTTTCGAAGATTCTTATCCACCAGGTTTTTTGATAATAACAGTTATTTCACACAACCAAGGCTATCAAACACTATTCGAACAAATGTATAATTTATTTGGTAAATGGATAGTTTTATATACATGTTGCTTGTTGACAATCACATTCATTGTCTGCTTTTACTTCGCGAAAACTGATAGAGTAGCATTTGCAATATTCGAAGTTATCAGACTCTTGATAAGTACATCTATCAGAACTAATATGAACACTCTGGGATTAAAAGTATTTTTCTTTATGATTCTTCTTTACTTTTTGATTTTACAATCAGCATTCCAAGGAAAATTAGCAGGATTTCTAACAAATCCTTCGACCATCAAAAATGCTGATACTTTGGATGATTTAGAATCTCCTGTGTACAGAAAAATCTTGTACGTAACTGACAGACAAACATTAAAGTTAAACGAAAAAGTATTTAATAAGTCTTATAGGTTACAGACTTTAGCAGAAATGGCGAATATTTTCAAAAATGATAAATCTGCTGCTTTTGTAGACAATATCTATAATGTGGGTAAATTCGGAATATCTTTGAAGGATTATTCAGGTGAAATACATATTGCTAAAGAACCGATTTCATCTCTACCATTTTCATTCATGTTGCGTAAGAGAAACCCTTTGAACGACCGAATAAATAAAATATTGCTCTTGTTTTATGAATTAGGGTTTACTGATAAATATGAAAAAGAAATGTTCAGAAAGATACGGAAAGTGATCAGTCGATTAAAATCAATATCATGGACTAAAAGTATTAATAAACCAATCAATATGAAGTCTATAATGCCTTTAATGATCTTCTTAGCTTTAGGATGGGTCACCGCGATAATATGTTTCATTGGTGAGATTATAGTTCATCGATTACAACAATCAAAAAATTCATTATTAAAACAGAAAAATAGAAAAAACAATCTGAAAAGAAAATAACACATTCTATAGTATAATATAACAGTAGAAAATGAATTCAAAAAGTATTTCAGAATGATAAAAAATAAAGAAGAATCAAATAAACTACTTTACATTAATATCAATAAAGAGCACTTTTTCATGTTAAGGAAAATTACTCATAATAATTTGTTAAAAAATATTAAATTCCATTCTGTAGTTCGTCCCATGAATAACAAAAATGGGAAACATAGTTTTTTATATGTCAAACATGTTTGGTGTTGTTCTTTATTCTAACAATTACGAACTTCTTCGATAGATTTCAGGACACTTTTACAATGATTTATGACAGAGTAAATGGGATCTAAAAGAATTGTCGAATTTGTAAAACACATCTTGCATCACGGAGTCCTATCACTGTCCAGAACTTAGACGCTTGCTCTTTGCAGCTTCCATATTGTAACTTTGTGTATGTATAAATTGTTATTAATAAACGAGTATCGAATGAGTGTGAAAAATAAAATTTTTCCTTGTTTAAAATATTTTAAAAAGATATTTAAAATGATTGAAATACATACAGAGATTACAAGATAATTAATTTATTTAGTGATTATAAATGTAATCACTTACATAATGATATAAGCAATACTGAAAATATCTTTCTTTAATTTGAATGATTTTATAATCCTTATTTATCTAACTTATGTTGATTATTATTTTTATTCAATTGATTAGTTATAGGCATTCTTTAGAAACATCACCATGAATAGGTAATGTCGGTGGCGTTCTTTCAATATATGACTCCATGTAAATTGCATATTTACAAAACTATATTCAGTTGCTGTGAAGATGATTATAAATTTCGAAGCTTCCACATTGGTTAAATTCATTAAACCACCAATCTTCGTACAATTTCTAATTATGTTGGGGCATAGTACTCAGAGAGTTTCATATTTTATTTATTAAAAACATTTTAATATGAAACTTCAGTTAAAAACCAATTTTTGTGGCACGAAAAAGTGAATTGTTCAAGAAAGATAGATCACCGTGCTGAGCTGATGGAAAGATCGTAAACCTCTTAGTAATGGGAGTCATGTTATTAGGTACAGTGCACTGCACTCCAGAAAGGATAGACGTCCTGTCGTTCTCAGTTTAAAACCAGCATGGACTCCACACTTTAATGGGCTTCACCACTAGTTCTAAAGGATGAATGACTTCATGCTAATGATGCAGAATTTAGATTCGTTCTTTATACAGATCTACTTGATGGACCATTTGAACTTATAGTATGAGTATATGCTCAATCAATGCAACAGCTGATCAAATAAATATGGTGATAAAGAAACGGATTCAAATTTTAGATTTTTTTGCTAAATTTAAGGAAGATGAAATAAGATTTTTTCTTATTAATAATCATGATATTGTGAAAAAATATGACCAGAAAAAATACTTATGGCATCAAAAGAAGACCGGCACTGAAAATTTTTGGCTCAATTTTAGATACGCAATAATTTGCGATGGAATTAAATAAAGGTAATGAATTCGTGTGTATCAATAATGATTAGAAAGAAAAATTTGAATTCTGATGTAAGATCTAATTTCTGCTTGTTTACAACAATTTCGATTGTTATAAATAAAAAGAGTTCCTTTAAATTCATGTTACATGGTAAGTAACATTTTTTTAGTTGAAGGAAAAATTTCTCGTTGGCAGTACCCCAATATATTGCCTACATTCTAAGAAAATAGTTGAGTCCTTTTTGAACTATTAATATAGCGTATTCGGTTTCTGCTCAAAGGCGCTCAGAACAGAACCGAATATGACCGAATGCGTACGAAAAATCCCGAACGTATAAATAGCCCTATTTGAAATCAGCTGTCA